TCATTGTTTGCGGCCGAGATGTTTATGATTTATTTCATTAAAAAAATAAAAACCCAACCCAACTACCACCCCACTAATAAGTTTTATATTTCTTTTATGATCGAAATCTATGGTAACACCCCCAACTCATCAATCCTTTTCAAGATTACCCAAGAAAAAAACCCGTTTGAACCCCTTTTATTTATATGTTGTCAAATCCTACACTTTTCCTTTTCTTGATCAAATAACCTTATCGTGTTGAAAGGGGTGTTACACCTTTACAGTGACAATGGTATTCCTTGCAAAGGAATCTTTTTATTAGTTTTCTGTTATCTCCTAGAATAACCTTACAGTGTTGAAAGGGGCGTTTGATTTGAGAGCTTTTTTTTTATTTTTTGCTACTTGACAATGATTTTCATTGAAAAGTGTTCTTTTTATTAAAGTTTCTTGTTATCTCAGTGAAAGCAGCTTTTGGTTTGAGAGCTTTCTGTCTAATTATTTGCCACTTGACGTGACAACGATTTTTTGTAAAAAGTAATCTTTTTTTTATATTAAAGCTTCTTATTCTCTAAAGTTCATTCACACCTCTGACCACTGGCATCTGTGGTGTAGTGATTAAGTCTAGGCACTGGCTGTTGCATGCGGGAGACCCGGTTTGATCCTGAATGGGGGGGAATTTTTACAAAGTATCTCAGTTTTTCTGGTGGGACTATGTATCCCTCTCAGCCTGGGTTGGCCCTGACAGGTAGGGTCTGAAGCACCGGCCTCCTAAATTATGTAAAAAAATTTTATTGGGGCATAAAACACCTACATTTGAAAAGAAAAATTTTTTTTTTCACACCTCTGCTCACAGTCCACTCTACAGATTAGATATGGGGGAATCAGACGTGAGAGAGGTTTTGTGTAAAAAAAAAAAAAAATTAATATTGCAAAATAATACCAACGACAATCGAAATTGTCTCAGAAGATGAACACCATTTACAGGAGAAAAGTGGCAGTCTTACAATGATTCTGAAAAGAAACCCCAAAAAACCTTCAAGAAAAAACACACAGGATGAAATGAGAAGTGGCTGTTTGTAAAGATGATTGTCTTATATAGGTGGCCGTTCGAGGAGTTATATGAAACAAAATGTAATTTTGCCTTGTCAAAGAGCATGAAAACAATTTGTAAACTGATTTCCATAATTCTTAGAATGGAAAAATTTCATTGCTTTTCTTTGAATAAGCGGAAATGCTAAGGTAGCTGGCGCTTTATATCCTTCAAAATAGCTTTTTTTCAGAATTTGATTTGAGAGCTTTCGTTTATTTATTTGCCACTTGTCAATGATGAGAGCAAAAAGGGTGTTCCTTGTGGTTGAACCCTTCTGTAAAAGAGATTTATTTGTCTGTTTTTGCTTTACTTTTCTCCTTAAGGCGAGGCACCTTTAGTCGTGTTTTCCTAGTTCTTCAAGTTCTAAGAGAATTATATTGTGTTTTCCGTTATAATTAATAGCTAACCTGGGGTGTCATCATGAAGATTGGGGTTTGATTTAGTTGGCCGTAAATGTCGCCAATATGCTGAAGTCCTGAGTCCTGAGTGGGGTTTGAACTTTTTATTATGTAAATTGGCGGATGGGGGTTTCTTCACATTCAAAAGACTAACTCTGTTAACTTGGAGCACAAAAGTACGTGCCTACGTTGTAGTTATGATATGCTGAAGTTTGAAGGTCAAACCTGAGTGCTCATTTGACCTTATGCAGTTGCGAGTGCCGTAAAACTCTTACTAAACTTACTAAAACCTGAGTTGGGTTTGAACTGTTTATGCTGTGAAAGGGCGAGGGAGATTTGCTCCACCTTCAAAAGACCAACTATGTTTTACATGGAGCCCAAAAGAATGTGTCTATATTGTCGTTACGTTAAGCATATTTGCTTCAGGAATTTCATAACTATTTGCTACCTCAGAATTAACAAAGTTCTATCTGCTCAGCACCTAGTTTTGAGAAATTTGACGTCTAAGATTTTGAGTTTCACAACATGTCAAGCTTTTTCAAATGCAATTCTTTGAACATTTTAATAAGGAGTCCAAACGTTCTTATGGTTTCGATAGAGCAGATAGAACATTTGATTTCCTACCTCATGGTTTTAGTAATTCAAAATTTGCCAAAAATGTCAGAACTTTGCAATTCTGAGGTAGCCTACTGTCAGTTGTGTGGATGGGGGCGTAAAACCTGTGTAGTTACTATAGATTATAACTATTGTACCATTGTCGGTTGTGCTGTAGTTAGGCTTTTTAATTTGACAACAAAAGGCGTAAGTTCAATTCCCTTGCTGGGAAGACATTGTATTAAGTGTCTCAGTTTCTCTGCTGGAATATATGCATCCCACACATCCGTGCTTTTGGTGTGACAAACCTAGTGGATGCCATTCACCTCTGTATTGAGCTAAATTGTGTCGATAGAGGTGTAAAACGTTTACTACCACAATCCCTTTCCTTTTAGAAACTCCAACAATGTTCAATGGTCATTCAATCAGTTATTTACAAATTCTTGGCACGACGATTTAAGTTGCTGTACATTTTCCGTTTA